AGCTTTAAGCACTGATCCCGGTCATTCACTTTGCTTGTACAGAAAAAGAATAAGATATGTGATTATCTTATAGTTCATGGCTGTAGCAAATCATTTGACTGGGTAATCAGGAACTTTGAAGTAAAATGATATAAAAATTTGTGACAGAGAACATGGAAAAAGAGATTTATGGGTAGATCTACTTGGATGAACAAAACTACAGATATACCGTGTTTCACATGAATGCTCACCAAATGATGTTCTTAGCAGACAGGTGGCTAAAGAGTGATCTAGAGAGGGCAACCAATTTTGTAGGTCCTAGTGAGTTTCTTTCTGCAGCTACCTTAGCACTGCCTGGTGTGCTAATGAACAATGTGATCGTGTTACCAGGTACGGAGGTTATAGCAGGGCTCAGCAACATGGACTTCAATCTACCATGGCCCGGATGGCTTCAGTGACTGCTGAGTGACTAACCTGCTGGCGGTGTAGACAAACAGAATCCCTACTAAAGCATCATTCTCCAGAGAGTTTGGCCAGCTGCCTACCTGGTGGCAGATTGATGACATTGAATCAGTGTCATCACAGAAATTGAAATATTTTATTCTTATATTATTAGGCACTTACTGTGGATACATACCTGTCTTTTCTGTAATAGTCCTTTTTATGAGGGCTCCCATGCACAGACTCACAGAATGTTTTATCTAGTATCATATATAAGGCATAACATTTGACCAGAAATCTCAGTTTATAAGAAAAAATACAGTAGTGAGATAGTACTTGTCAGATTCAATCATCGTACCATGATCTCTGCTCTCCAGAGGGAGCTAGTTTGATAGACCAATGGAGTGACATTTTAAAGTTGCAGTTACAATGACGTATATGTGACAATATCTTGAAGCATAAGGATACATTCTCTATCGAGCTGAGTATTCACTGGATTATTCTTCAGTGGGATCCTTTCTCTCCTATATTCGGGTTTCATAGGACCAGAATTTCAGGAACAGGAGTGGAAGAGTTACTACTCAGAATTAGTGACCTACTAACAAAAGTTTGTTCCTAGGACATTAGATGTTTTTTTGTCTTATAAATCTTGGTTCTAAACAAAAGAATGCTTCTACTAAAGACTCACAAATTTTTCTAGCAGACTGAATGTTAAGACGGCTGCTAAAATACTTTCCTTATAACTGAACCAGTAATAAAAAATGTTAAGCTTACTGGCTGGGGTGGTTGTTCCTGAATATCAAAATGAAAGTGAATTCTATTCAACAGTGAAGGTAAGGAAGACCATGTATGGAACATAGTACATCATTTAGTGCATCTCTTAGAGGTATAAGCTCTGTGATTATATCAGTGGGTTATTATAAAACAATCCTGGCAGGATTGCTAGTGATCATTTGGGCTATTTGAAGAACTGTTTAAAAACCATGGGTGGTTGAGATCCTTGCTGAAGACAAATGGGGGAACACAACTGATGTGTGGAAAGTAGTTAGGAACACGAGCATGCTCCGTTTTTGTTATGGCTTTGACTCAGTTTCCGCGTATCCCCCAGGATTCATGTGGTGAAGGTCTGCTAGCGTGACGATGTTGAAGATGATACTTTAAGAAGTGGGACCTCATGGGAGGTAAACAGGTCGCTGAGCTGTCATCTCCGTAAATGATCAGTGCTGAGTCTGTTGAATGAGTTTGGTCTTGCAGGAGTGATTGTAAAGCGAGGCAAATCCATATGCTTGAAATCTACTGCACCTGGTCATTTCCCTTTCTGCTCCTCTGTCAAGCTATTGTTTAGCTAGTTTCCTTTAACAAAGGCCAAGCATATAAAATTGCCCTCTCTTGGACTTTCGCTTGAACATCTAAACAATCAAACCATCACATACAATATTCTCTATATGACTTTAAGTAATAAGCATGAATTCAAGTGTTCTCTTAATGTAATATGAAGTGGACAAACTTTATTATTGTTAAAATAAGAGGAGTGGAATTGTCATGAATACTCCCTACTTGATTTAAATATTTGTGTGTAAATATCTTTGCTTGACACCACTACTCATTTATCAGAAATTCGATGGTTTTTTAGGTCACAGATTTATTACCATTCACTTATCATAAGATACAATAGCTTTTAGGTCACATTTTTAAAGAACTGTTTGTTTTACACCATAGCATATCAGTTATGGAAGCAGTAGAAAAATGTCACTGAAGAATTTTACACCATCTTTTAGAGAAAGGTTTATGTGTTATAGGTTTTTCATTTCTTCATTTGGAGATTAGGTATGGTTTAAGAAAATGCTTATGGACTCCAAGTGAACAAGGAGGTGGGCATGTGAGGGTAACTGTGTCAGCTTGACTGAGCCATGGGGTTCCCTGACACTTGGGTAAATATTCTATACAGGCCTGTAAGGGTGTTTTGGAAGAGATTAACATTCAAAGTGACAGACGGAGTAAAGCAGATTGTCTGATCTAATTTAGACTTTTCTCCTCTAAATAGTTTAAGACCCCACTTGAACACAGTGATGAAGCCTGCACTCAGTAAGGGAGATCCCTTCCGCCAGACTTTTTGAGCTGTAGCTGGATTTCAGCCTTCACTTCAAGCTTCCTTTGCCTCGGGTCTGTTGTCTGCTAAGATGAAAACTGCCTCTCCTCGTTCTCAGGCCTGTTGGTTGGAATGGGAAGTATATGTGCTATCTGCCTTAAATTAATGCAGTCGAAGACTGCTAGATGCCTCTTATCCATATTGGTGTATCTATGTATCTATCTGTCCAGTTGTCTGCTTTACAGCCAGCTCTCTTCTTTACTGTTTCTTCTGCTTCTCTAAGACAACATTCTTTGCTGTGTTAGCTTGTCTTTAGAAATAAGGAATACCATTGCACTGTGGGAGATCCTCAGTGAACACTTTTTGAATGACTCTGGCGTATTGCATTATTATCTAAGTGCATTCTACCTACACCCCATAGTCCACTGAAACCATTTGCAGAAGAGTTACATAAGTAATGTCAGTTAAATCACACCTCTTTCAAATATATGAATATTTATAACTTAACATTGTGTTTGAGAAGTTTCATACATAAGGAAGTGGTTTAATTCAGTTGATTCTGTAATTTAACATTCACTAGGCTATTTAAAATGAAGATGATGGTTCATACAAGACGTTCTATGAAGTAGTGCATTAATGAATTAAGCACAAACTCCTGCTATATGTGATTTTTGATAGTTTTGAAAGAATTTCAAGCAGTTAAAATGTGTTATATCAGTTATGATATAATTTCTATTTGTATTATCTTAACTATCCCTCTATGCATTAATATTCATTTTACAGTATTTTCAAACTGGAAAAGAGCCCAGGGCCTTTGCACCACCCTTCCTGTGTTCTTAGACTATTCTTGGCTCGACCCATAACATTTTGAAGACCCTCTGGCCTGTTGTTTCTTGAGAAAAAAGTTTCTTCTTGCTTATTGATCTGTGTTAGTTACATGAAACTTAGCCCATAGATTGCTTTGTCTAATGCTTATCTTCCTCCTTGGACAACATCAGTCATGTACATTTTGCTGAGCATTTTTACTGTCTTCTAGTCTACAGCAGAAGCATAACAGAGACAGATATGTTTATGTGATAACTATTTCTCTTCTTTACATGGTAATTGGCATAAAGTCAGGGATTTGTATGTGTTTGGTTTTTGTTATTTTTACAAAAACATCAGTGAAATAAACAGCAGTGAACTTGTTTCAATAACAAGAAAACTAGTTGTCTGGTTTTTAGGTGAATACTTGGTTTCTTTTATATCCCTTCTATTATTATGATAAATAAATAAACAAATATTATTTATTAGAACAACTTAACTGGATGAATACTAGAAAATAGGGTTTGCTGTTGCTGCCTTGGGGTTATTTTAGTTCTACATGGAAACATGAAAAGAGAAAAATAAAGCAAAATGAATTGTCTGGTTTATCTTCTTGGTTTATAGCATAGCAGAATGGAATGTCACCAGAACAGAATTTAAATATAAATCTAAGCTTTAGGAGCTTCTTCTTATACTATTTCTATAATCAGAAATTCTTTTATGGTACTGAACAGGCAGAAAGTAGAAAATAATTCAGAGGTGTTGGTATTTGATTACTTTATCAAATATTTATTGAAACTCCAAGGAATTTTGTAGTGCTCAAATGGATTGAATATCAGTTTGGACATCAGATGCGCAAAGGACCACGGATTGTTTTTCATTATTAAGAGTTAGAGCAATAAAGACAGAAAAGTAAGAAAAGTACTAAGGGACTCATACAATTATTTCCTTCCTTCCTTCCTTCCTTCCTTCCTTCCTTCCTTCCTTCCTTCCTTCCTTC